CATCATCATCATCATCATCATCATCATCATCATCATCATAGATAGGATCGCTTCACCCTCGAGTTACCCATCTATCCTTTCATTATTATTTTCTTCTAACATCCATTTTGAAACGTTTCATCTCGATATTTTTTATGTTTCTCTCTCTCAAATATATAACTTTTTTTTTTCTCTTTCGAAATTTTCGAAAATACCTAGGATAAGCATTTTCTCTCGACATTTCATCCTCGAAATTCGAAAATCAGTTTAATTAATTCTTTTTTCGGAATTCTTCGAAAATTTCAGAATTAATTAACTTCTTTTTCGACATTTCTTTTCATAATTCGAAAACATTCCTAATTCTTTTTCGGAATTTTTGTAATTTGGAAAACATTTTAGAATTAGTTAAACTCTTTCCTTTTCGTAACTCGAAATACGTTAGAATTTTCTTTTTCTTTCTCGACATTTCTTTGAATTCGAAACTACTTGTAATTCATTCGTTTTTCTCTTCGAAAATTTTGAAAGTACGTTAAAATTAATTGAATTCTTTTTTTTTTTCGATATTTTCTTTTGGAAATTAAAAAATAATTCAAATTAATTCTTTTTCCCAGTAATTTAAATTCACAATTTCTTTTCACAATTTTTGTTGAAATTCGAAACTCTTTTTTTTACAAATCGGAAGTATTTTTCTTTTAGATGTTATTCTAAACCCTGCAATTAGTTTTGACTAAATTCAATTTTAATTATCCTTTTTCTGAAATGTCGACAATTTCCTTTTTGAAAAATTATTGCCAAATATTTTCAAAATTCCCTCTTCCGAATTCTTCCGTAATTCAAAAATATTTTCTTTCGAAATTTCACGTTTTCTTGAAAATAAATTTAAATCAAAATTTATTCTATTTATTTATTTTATTATGATTATTTTTTGAAAAATATTGGCAATTATCTTTATTTTTGAATAAATAAGGGATTCCCCCCCCCCACCCTCCAGATGCCACCACGTCAAACCAAGAACTCCCAACGTGCTGTCGCCGCCGCCACCGCTGCTGCTGCATCTTCCACCCCCGTTCATGCCACGTCCTCCACCCCCTCTTCCCCCGACATGGCCGCATCCTCCATCAACATGTCTGACATCCGCACCGACTTAGTCGATAGCATCGCCCGCAACCTCGTCGGCGAACAACCACCAGCAAACACCGCCACCCCCGACCTCTCTGCCATCCTCCACGCACTCAACTCCGTCACCGCCTCTCTCGACGACATAAAGGCCAACGTGTCATCCTTATGCGACCGCGTCACCACGCTCGAAGGGACCACCCCTCCCATCACGGTCGTCACCACCACGCAAACCACTCCAACCCCCACAGTGCAAACTACTCCMMCCTCCACAGTGCAAACCACTCCAACCTCCACMGCCGCCTCTAGCAACACCCCCCCGCCGACCTCCTCCACTCCTACCACCTCTACCGCCATATCCACCAACCCTTCAATCCCCACCATCGTTCCGTTCCCTCCACCTCCTCCCTCATCCGGCGCATCCAGCACACCACCTCATTCCTCGCCCATCAAAGTCACCCCTTCCCCCCCCCCCGCACTCCCAAACCCTCTCCCAACCCATCATGACCACCTCCACCATCCCCACCATCCATCCCACCTATTCCCAAGTCACCTCCGGAGCTTTCCCCGCAATGCCACAACTTCCACCCAACTACCTCCTTGAGGACAACAACCAAATCGACCACACCTGCTACGACACCACCCCCGATAACCTCAGCTTCAACACCCTCGCGCAGATCGTTCACCGCGACGGGGAAATCCCCCGTTCCTTCCGATCTGGCGAAATCATGTCCTTCTCCGCCCTCCCCCACGAGGACGTTTTCCTCTTCCTAACCCAGCTTCAAAACTCTTTTCAGCTCCACCACATGCCCCTTGCCCACTGGCTCCCCATTGCCACCTCCCGCCTCCTCGGCAATGCAGCSAAATGGTGGATGGCTSAAGCYAGCAACCVCCGAGCCTCCRGAGGACCACGCCYYAMCTTCCTCCAATGGGCCACCCTCCTCACTGCCACCTTCCGCCCCCAGAAAACCATTGACGACTACCTTGAACAATTCTGCCACCTCCGCCAGACCGGTCTCACGGACCGCTTCGTCCAATACGTCCGCTCCCTCCGACACCACCTCCCCCACACCGTCATTCCCGACTGTGCGTTCATCTCCCGCATCAAACGAGTATGCCACAMMGACCTTGCAACCGCCCTCGCCCACGAACCCGACATGCCCCTTGCTGACCTCCTCTCTCGCATGCTCCACCACGATCGACTCCTCCACCCCCACCACCAGGCCCCCCTCGGCACCTCCCTCACCCGCTTTTTCCACCACATCACCCCCGAAGACACCACCTCCATCACTTCCTCAGACGAGTTCACCACATCTGACCCCGACGCATCTTTCGATTCACTCGACTCTTCATCCCTCACTTCCGAGGAACTCGATGTCGTCCAGTTCATGAGAATGGAGCGCAGAGATCGCAGCTCCCGACCACCCTCATCTACCCCACCCTCCCGCCTCAAGAAACTCACCCCCGAGGAGCGCACCTACCTCCAAGCAAAAGGGGGTTGCTTCCATTGTCGCCAATTGGGGCACCGACAAACCAACTGCCCCAACGCTGCACGATTCACCCGTCAGTCCGCCTCCACGCGACCCGCAACCTCCGCATCACCGCCCTTGGCTAGCGCGGGCCCCTCCTCATCATGAACACAGTCCCCAAGACACTGACCCGACATTTACATTGCATTTGTCAGCCTACCCATCAGTGACATCCTTCGTCGCACCGATGGCCCATCTTACATCGACGATTCATTTGCCTTCCCTCTCTCCTGCGACGCCCCCTCCACCGGACGATTCCCAGGCATTGCAGACACCTCCCACTGCCTCATGCTCCTCTACCCTTCCTCCAAATGCATCCACTATCACCTTCTCCGATGTTGTTGAGGAACAAGCCCGACACGATCATCTCCACCGCCTCATGCTTCTCTACCCTTAGGCAACGAACAACGCCGCCTCAACACCATCATCTCCACCGCCAACTTATCTCGTTTCCACCTCAAATTCATCGCTGCCACCCTTGGTGCGTCTACAACTAAGTTCCGGGCCCTCCTCGACATTGGAGCCACCGGTAACTTCATCACCGACACGTGTGTCCGCAAAGCCGGTCTTACCTCTACCAACTATGACTCCCCGATCACGATTCGCCTAGGGGACAAAGACACCGCCGTCGTAGTAGACCGCACGGTTCCCGAGACCATCATGACCGTCGGAACCCTCCGCAGTCAGGTCTCGTTTGATGTCATGCACTTGATGTGCGACATCGTCTTAGGAACCCCGTGGCTGGACCGCTACATGGCATACGCATTCCACCCCAACTTCCTTCGCCTCACCAACCCCCCCGACACAACCATYGACATCCCCTATCTCCCATATCCGACCTCCCAAGGCTYTGTCACCCCGCACCAATTCCTCCACATGGCTCGCCTAAACCYCGACTCCGCCTACTACTRTCTTGTCCTTGATCGCGAAAGTYCCAAGGACTTACTCCCGACGGACAAACCCGATCAAGCCCCGCCCTCCAACCCCTCCATCACTTCAATCCTCGACGAGTTCAGGGACGTCTTTCCCGAGTCCTTACCCGCCGGACTACCTCCGGATCGTGGCGTATCGCATACCATCGATCTGGAACCCGGACATTCTCCACCTTGCCGCCCTYCATACCAACTCTCTGTCCCCGAAGCCGAAGAAATGAAACGGCAACTCGGTGAACTCCTTGAAAAATGATTCATTAAGCCAAGTTCATCCCCCTTCGGAACCAGCTGCCTTTTCGTCAAGAAAGGTGAAACTTTGGAACTCCGCATGTGCACAGACTACCGCGCCTTGAACCGGATCACGATCAAGAACAAGTACCCCCTACCTCGGATTTCCGAGCTCCTTGATCATCTTCGTGGAACCAAGTACTTTACCAAGATCGACCTTCGTAGTGGCTTCCACCAGATCCGTATCCGCGAGGAGGACACCCACAAGACCGCCTTCCGCTCTCGGTTCGGGCACTACGAGTTCCTCGTGATGCCATTCGGACTCAACAATGCCCCTGCGACCTTCCAATCCACCATGAACCACATCTTCCGCAACCTCCTCGAAGTCTGTGTCGTTGTCTACCTTGATGACATCCTTGTCTTCAGCCCCACCTTCGAGTCCCACCTTCAGTACCTCCGCCAAGTCCTCGCGATCCTCCGAGAGCACTAATACCTCGGCCATATTGTCTCCGCTGAAGGCATCCGTATGGACCCCTCGAAGGTCACAGCCCTCGTCGAGTACCCCCCACCCAAGACCCTCCTCCAACTCCGTTCCTTCCTTGGCCTTGCCAACTATTACCGCCCGTTCATTCGCAACTTTTTTGAGATCTATTACCCTCTCCACGAACTCGGCCGCAAGGACGAGCCTTTCCATTGGAACGATCGCCGCCAACAAGCTTTCGACTTACTCAAGCAAACCATCACCACGGCCCCTGTCCTCAAGATCGCCGACCCCACTCGCCATTTCTATGTCAATACTGACGCCTCCTTCGCCATCGGAGCCGTACTGTCCCAACATTTCCTTCGCGACACCGCCGAGACCCCCTCCATCAAGGACTCGCCCACTCACCCCGAGGCTCCACCTGGCGAATACCCTATCGCCTTCGCAAGCTAGAAACTCCTTCCCGCGGAGATGAATTACCCCTCCAACGAGAAGGAACTCCTCGCCGTGATTCACGCCTTCACAGTCTGGCGCCCGTACCTCGACGGGCAATACTTCACTATCCGCACTGACAATACCATCGTCTTCTTCATCCTCTCCAAGAAAGATATCACTTCACGCCAAGCCCGCTGGCTAGACTTCCTTGCCCAGTTCACATTCACCATTTGCCATACCCCCGGCAAAAGCAACCACGTTGCCGATGCCCTCTCGCGACGACCCGACCACAAGCCCCCCGAGAAAGTCTACGCCACCATGACTCATATTCAACTCCTTCCATCACTTCATCACCGATACACCCAAGGCTATCTCTCCTGCTCAGACTTCGCCACCATTTACAACAAGCTCCGCGATCTTGACTCAGTTCCCGACTACTCCCTTCACAACAATCTCCTCTACATCATTACCAAAGGCACTCGCCGACTTTGCATCCCCGACGCACGAGGCCTCCGTACTCAGCTCTTGGCCGAGCACCACGATGCCAAGACCGCAGGACATCTCGGTTTCCAGAAGACCTTCGACACCATCTCCCGCTACTTCTACTGGCCTTCCCTACTCATCGACGTTAAGACATACATTCGCTCGTGTCCCACGTGTCAAGCTGTCAACCCCTCGAACCGGGCCAAACCCGGCAAGCTCCAATCATTGCCCATCCCAACTCACCGGTGGCAGTCCATCTCCATGGACTTCGTGTGCGGCCTCCCCAAGAC